GGGCGGGCCGGGCCTCCAGGACGAGCCGCCGCGCGAGGACGCGCTGCCCATCTTGCGCTACTGCCGGGAGCCCAGCCGCTACGGTAGGTGCGCCGCCGGGCCAGGGTCCGCCGCCCTCCGGACCGCCCCACCCCACCCCCCTGGGCAGCCCTGTTGGGTCACCGGGTGGACGTGCAGAGCCTCCTGCCTCACCCAGAGGTCGCAGCTCAGGGACAAGGGCAGTGTCGCGACGTCTAGCGCCCACAGGTCTGCGTAGCCCGGTCCCCAGGTGGCCGTTGGGCACCTAGCAGACCCTGCTGACGCCCCTGAAGCCAGAGTGCCCTGGACACCTGGGGGCATAGGCCAGCCACCGGGGGAGAGGAGCCGCTCTGGGTCGGGTGTTACCCTCCCTGCACTGAGCTCCGATGCCCATTATGGGGCGCCCTCTGACACAGGGGGTAGGGCAAGGTCGCCCTGCCTGGGGTCTTGGGGTCCAAAGCCCCTGGGCAGATGGCCCAATTGTGACCCTAGGGTAAGGGGGTCACCTTGGAGAGTCACTGTGGGCCTGGGGAGCAGGCAGCAGTATGTCAGTCAGCCCTGACCTCCCAGTCACCCTCTGCATGGGGTAAGGGTGACGGTTTCTCCGTGTGTGTCCGAGCGCATGTCTGTGTGTGAAGGTGTGTGTATGTGTGTGTATGAGATGTTTGTGTGGAGGTGTGTGTGTGTGTGAAGGTGTACGTGTATGAGGTGTGTATGTGAAAGTGTATGTGTATGTGTGTATATGAGATATTCGTGTGAAGGTGTGTGTGTGTGAGGTGTGTGTCTATGAGGTATGTGGGTGAAGGTGTGTGCATATGAGGGGTGTGTGTATGAGTTGTGTGTGTGTGAAGGTGCGTGTGTGAGGTGTGTGTGTGTCTATGAGGTGTGTGTGTATGAAGAGTGTGTATCTGGGAGGGCTCTCATGAGCCTTAAGCCCCCTCCCCTCCTATGCCCCCCCCCCAACTCCTGTGCCCCTCTGCACCCTAAGGCTGGCTGTGGGGGTGGGCTGGTGCCAGGAGGCCACTCTGTCTCGCACCATCTCTGTCTGAGGAGGAAACCCAGGCCCCTAGTCCTGGCATGTGGGCCCCCCTGGATCCCATACCACCTTTTGTGCTTCCGGTGGGCCCAGCTCTGAGCCTGGCAGACCAGGAGAGGGGCAGCACTGCCCCCTGCCCCTCCCAGCCTGTCCTGGGCTGCAGCTCGGGCCCACCCTGGTGGCAGACATTCAGTCCTGTCCTGCGGGAGGTGCTGAGCGGCGAGTTCACAGCGTCAGACGGAGGGAGGGGTGCTGGGGGCCACTCAATGGAGCAGACTGCGCTCACAAAGCCACCAGAGCCCCTGTGCAGCCAGCCCTGCCCTCCCGGCGTGGCCCATGCAGGATGTGCGTTGGGCGGGGCTCCGGGACCCAGTCATCAGCCCCCATCTCAGGGCTCAGGCCTGCTGGGCTCAGGCGTGCTGGTCTCCCCTCGCTGAGTGGGCCCCCCTCATTCCACGGTCAGGGCTGACCACCTCAGGGCTGGACTGTCCTGGGGTTGTGGGCTCCCCTTGTCAGTGTCAGGCAGATGCTGCTGGTGACTAGGCTGTCACTGTAGACCACAGGTGGGGGCCACAGGGGGAAACTCTCCCCACACTGATGACCCCACCCACCCCAATCCACTGCACATGTCCCCAAGGACCCTCTTCTGATCAGTCCTGGGGCGGCGGGGTGCTCAGGGTGAACCACCGCCTGATCTCACAGCTGTCACAGGGGCTGACCACTGAGGCGAGACCTGCCCGGCGATTGTCCCCTGTAGGGACAAAGCCCCTACACCTGCCCTTTGTCCCGCAGTGCCCCGAGAACCACCCGGCCAGAGTGCAGCTGCGCTGGCCACGGCGCGTGAGCAGCCACTCAGCCACCCAGCTCTGCTTTCAGGACGCCCTCACCTGCGCCCCCCACCCCCACATCCCCGGGCTGTGTAGGGAGAGGTGTTCTGCTCCCCCTGCATCCTCAGGTCAGGGTGTGTGTGGTGGGTGGGGTGGTCTGCTCCCCCACCCCCCAGCTGTGGGGGCAGGGTCCCCATGGACCCGTGGGCTCCGGTGTCTGAGAAGGCACCCACGCCCAGGTAGACAGCTTCCTGCAGCTTAAATATTTCATGGCCTGCGCGTTAGTGCCCGTCTCAGGTCTCAGCGGCGACACGGGCGGACAGTGGCACCAGGGTCTCCATGCTGTTCCCTGTACCTCCTCCCCTGACGGGAGGGGCTGTGTGCCTGCTCCCTTGTCTCCTCCCATGATGGGCGGGGTGGGGGTGGCTTGAAACGTGCTCATGCTCACTGGGGCAGCACAGACACAGGACATAGGGCATGGGCACAGGGCACAGACACAGAGCACAGGCACAGGCACAGGCACAGGCACAGGGCACAGATACAGACACAGGGCACAGGCACAGGCACAGGGCACAGATACAGACACAGAGCACAGGCACAGGCACAGG